TCAAAAAATATACTATAAAACATTTTGACAGTCCCAAAACTTATGTTGTACTAAACCCCAGGTATTGTTATTGATCCTGAGCTTTTAGTTCTGGTTTTATTCCTTCTAAAACATAAATAAATTGGCGTTTTTCAAATGATGTTATTTTCGTCATCGCTCTTCTTGTTGGCCAATATGAGCACTTTGAATATGGCAATATTTTTGTCGATATTTAAATGCTTTTTTTTTTCGACCTTAAAACGTTCAATCTTGTTGAAACTTCGCATACAGATGTATTTTGCATGGGTTTAAATAATTCCTGAGGTATGACGTCTTAGTTTTATCTTAAACTTTCAAAAACTCAGAAAAAGCAGCCTAAAACGCGCGGTTTTTCTGACCGTTCATGCTTATGGTCGTGTTTTTTCGTATTTTTTTGCTAATTCGTGATTTGTTTGATTTGCGAATATTAAATTCGTTTATCATACTACTGATATGAATTCAATTTGGTGGTATAACTAATATTTTGGGACCAGATTTTTCTGATCAAAAAATGTGCATATTTTGAAAAAAATGTTTAAAAAGGATTGGGCTATCTGCAGAAAACACTCATGGCCGGCTTCAAAGATGGCGGCGGACTTATCGTTCCAGTTTACTTATAGTTCAATGATTCCAAATCACTAATCGTAACTTTAACCAAACTGTAACCTTTACCCCAATCCTAACTTATCCAATTCCTAATCCTAAGTTATTGTGACATCATTTCCAAACATTTATATAGTGTTCCGATTCTTTCTACGAGAATATTAAACCTCGTTGTATCCCTCATTGCGTGGGAAGATTAAGCTTCGTTTTCTATTTGTCCTCACGAATGATATGTATAACCATGGAATATCAAGAAACAATGGATTTCGTTGTCCTCGAATTATTTATCAAAGAAACCCTTTATACTACGTTGTTGCAAATAGTGATTGAATGTACGAACCACAATCCCAAACCAAATTTCGTAATCCAAAGCATGAAAAACGATATTTTTATTCACAGAAACCGAACCTTATCCTAAACGTTGATGGTTGTATTGCAGTCTGCCTTGTCGACCTTTTACGCCATTGTGGGTCATTTACAAGGTAAAATCTAAGTTGGTCTGTTGGTGTTTGTATATTGTAGTTGCTTCAGGTGCATATATATAGTGATCAGATCATCAGACGCGGAGTACTGCATGGGATCTTGGATCCTGAAAGTTATTTGCCTTAGCCTTGAGGAACACACGTATCTATATAATTTGAGGTTAAGAAGTGTTGTTAAATGTTTATATTGGCGGTTATTTTGTTTTGTACGGTCAATTTTTCAATCTCGGTATCTTGGATCCTGAGGATTATTTGCCTTAGCCTTTCATTATTTACCTCACACGTACTTTATGGGAAAATCTTGATAAATTTTACTTAATTATACGTATCTGTCTTCTTAGAAGTGTTGTTATATGTTCATATTTATGGTTATTTCATTTTGTACAGTAGATATTGCTATTGTTTTACGCACACATAAGAACATTTGAAAAGGCAAATTCACTTGGGTCTGAGTGTCATTTTGTGTAAAAGCTGTTTAAAAACAGTACAACATGTTACTAATTATTCTTCTGAACCTTATGTTATTTTGTAACTCTATAGAGAGGAAGCAGACGAGTTTGTATCCATTGGAGCACTCAATGGCTTGTTCGTATTAGGACGGTCTATTGGATTTATTGGTAAGAGCAGAAGATCAGACATGTTTCTCTAATCTAGTTTAAGTTAATAAATTTAATAAATGTGACCTACGGGCAAAGTACCTTCAAACCCAATCTCTAGTTTAGTGTCTTCATCTTGGCTGTTCAAAGTAAACATAACACTGATAACAAACATGCTGTATATTCCATACCTTGCGGTGGCTGACAAAGAGTACAGTCGAACCTTTCCTGAGATAGGAGAGATTCTCTCTAATACACACACCTTTCTAATACGGTTAGGTTCCTAAACCTATGTTAATACGTAAACATGCATAAACGCTTCACTCCCTTATTTTAGTGTAGCATATTGTGTTGCAATTCGTTTCATTCCAAAACTGTGCTTATTATATATACAGTATATAATTGAGAAGCTGCGGATTGAACTTACGCTGGCACGTATATACCGTTCGAGTATAACTGATGAACATTGAAGTAGTACTTTAATAAATACTCAAGTATAAACTCAAGTATGAGCCCGTTTTAGTAACACTTCAAACGTTTTGGTGAGTCTTTTAAAGAAGTAATGTGATTGATAGTTTCGCTTAAGCAGTGAAGATCCCATGCAGACAGAAGAGGTATTTCCCAACGGAGTTAAGCACGTCCCACAAACAATTCTCTTCAAAAATCCTATATGAATTTTGCCGAGTTGGTGGTTGTACTGGGCATATAGTTAATAGAATAGATGGTTTGGAAACTCATTAGAATAACCATGGATAATAAAATAAATGGATAGGAAACTAGCTGACGTGACCTAATGTTTTCAATGGGCTGATGGCGTGATTGGATGTTGAAACCTAGTTGCAAACCAAATTCTCAAAAACGGCGTGTTTAGCAATAATACAGCTAAACATTTTAGTCAAAGAGCAAATAAATATAACTACGCCATTCTACGATGAAATCTCTAAGTATTCCCAGTCAATTTTAGCAAATATTTCAAGCACTAAACAGTGAAAAATACATCGCAAATTTCGTTAAAATTGGCGACGCCAATTTCGTAGTTACAAATGTAAAAAATACAAATGTCGTGGCTTAGGTATGTTTTTAAAACAATTAGACCAGTTTATGCTTCAATATTACTCTTTTAAAGCGGAAAATATAGCGAAACAACAAAAATGCCGAGAACTTTGGTATATTTGCAATACGCGTGACGTCACAGATTGTAACTAGGTTTAAGACTGACGTCAGGAAGTTTCCTATCCAGTTATTTTACAATCCATGGAATAACCATGAAAATCATTATGTATGTTAGTCAACGTTTATTCATAAATATGGTCCTTCACTGTCACGTGTGTATTGTATTTTTGCCAAATCCACCAATAGCAATTTCCAATTTACCCTATTGTTCGAGTCACGGATAAGTATGACTTTCCTGAAACATTGCTATTGGTTAGTTGGGCAAAAATACAATACACACGTGACGATGAAGGACCGTATTTATGAATAAACGTTGACTAACATACATAATGATTTATAGTGTTATCCTAATGAGTTTCCAAACCATCTATTCCATTAACTATGCACTGGGTTAGAAAAGCAGATAGAATTCGAAATAGGTAAAAATCATGGGGATTCGTAAATTATAAATCGCCTTTTTACGCAAAAACAAACTGCTTGTGGGGCGTAGCAACCGTAACTACGGAGTGTCGGAAGTATCAATTGTGGTTACCTGGGTGACCTCTGTATTAGAATTCTTATACGGATATCTTGCTTTGTCGGTGCACGTTTGAACGGTTCAACCCTGTCTAGATTGGGTGGGGGCAGGAATTGCTAAAACATCACAAACATTTGCTTTCTTTTTGTTTGTGTTTTGACAGAATACTCAGAATAAAATGTAAATATTTTTGTTGCATTTCAGGTCATTATTTAGATCAGAAACGATTAGGACAAGGTTTGTATCGGCATCCTTGGGACGACATTACATATCTGCATCCAGATCATCTACAACATCAAGCTGGTTTTGAGTAAATACACGTATTGATGTACAGTATGGCAATAAAAATTACAAATATCTAAATAGTCAAATATATGTATTCGGTCACTTTGGTGAGAGTATTCAAATGATCCATTCACATGAAGTCACACAAGATATTGTCGCCGTTCAGAGGTGAACCCTGTCTTAAGTCCGATTTCCAGTCGATTTTTTTAATCATATATACTTTCAAGTGAATGCGGTAGCTTTTGGTCCAACTAATAATCCATGAAGATGAATTCTCTGTATTAGAATATGTAAATTGTATTTCCTGTATCAAAGGATACATGTATTGCAAATTGGTACTTTATAATAATTGCATAGTTTCTATATACAAATTCATTAATTTAAATTAATTGTAATTACAATTTCTATCAAAAAGTAGTTTATCAATGCATCCTGCAGAACAGCGTTGTGTGAGATGTCTAGCCCGAACTGTTATTTTAAAAATTGTTTGTTATTTATAATGAACGAAGAAGTAGTAGAAGTACTAGGTGCGGGGTTCAGTGAAATGAATATAACTTGACGCTACCTCCAACCGGAAATTTGAAGCCAAAGTTGAAGGCCAGTCCCAGTCTTTTCACGCATGCGAAGAGCGCGGTCAATCCGTCAACATAAATACAGTATGTATTCTTGAAAACCGGCTTAAAATTTACAAAAAAGCTTTTTAACAGCGCTCAAAGCTTTATTAATTAATGCATTTATTCAGGTAAACCTGTTAGTGATAAAAGTGTGCCGCGTTGTGCCGTGAGAGAATCGTGAGACATAAACACGCGTGTCTTGACCCGGAAGCACGCGTGTCTGGGGTCAAATTTGGTGTGTGACTGGAGCCATAGTTGAATAGTGGCGACTTGGACATATATAATATGACTGATATTATCCGCGAAGTTGTATCATTAACTTCGGTGATCTGACTATACTGTATAAAGGAAAAGATACTTCGCATGAATTTATGTGGGATCTGCCCCCCCCCCCCCCCCCCTGCCAAGATATCTAACGGTCCACCTATACAATTTAGCACAATGACACAGATATATTCATAACATGTTATAAGACAACGTACGTGACTGGGGGTGTGGACCTCACTTTTAGACAGAACGATCTAGAAATACTTCACTCATGCCCTGCTATTCAACTATTGCCTGTGGCTGTGGGCATTCGGAAATGGCCTATATTGTGCTCCTGCTTTTCATTTTTTTTTTTAAATTAGAGTTAGAAGCAGTGAAGAGCAACCACTTCAGCCTGTCGGAAAAAAGTATTAGTTCTTTTATGCGGGGTTTTACTATATTTGGGATAAAAATTGAATTTTAAATGTGACAAGTTTTCCAAACACGAGAATTTTCCCAGGCCAGTTTCCCAGTAACCTTTATTGCTTTAATGACCAAATGACTCGCTAATTGTCGTTTCTCTCAAGTGCTATTGTGAAAGCAGTCTTAGAGAAATTGTGGGCATATCGCTAAAATTGCTATGTCACAGGCTGAAGCGGAATATTAGTCTTGGAATATCGATGTTAAATAATTACACTTATAGTCGTAGTTAGACCATGCATAGGAAACAGTTGACGCCAACAGATGCACCTATTTGAAATTCGTGACGTATATAGTGAAGTTTTACTGCGTCTTTTAACTATATTTTTAACACTCAAGTAGCTACACTGAGATTTAAAATGGTTTCAATGTCTTTGAGGTAAATGTTGTTCGTCTTTGCTTTAGTTTAAGTTTTTTTACTTTCCAAATAATGAGAAAGTGGCGTCACAAAAACTACTGTTGATATGTAATTGAAATTTGTTTGTGTTCCAAAATGACCAACCATATTTAGATATTCCATCCGGTAGAGCGGCATGGTTGTATATCCTTTTTATACGTTTTATGACAAAAATGCTCAGCTGTAATTTGGATTTAGTGATCAGTCATATAATTTTCAACAAGATTGAGTTTAAAAAGTAGGCAAACTGATCTTCCACTAAAAGAGGCCGAACAATTTTTAGTTGAAAAGAAGACCAAAAGTGCGGACTTCTGCGAACAGTGACTACCTAATTTCGGTCATAATTTGGTTACAGTGTATAATTGGCTGCATTTCATGAATCCTGGTTGGCTAGAATTTCAACCAGGGTAATGAATAGAAGTAAAAATGGGATCAACATTCAACCCGCAAAAATTAATACTTTATTTCAAAATAATATTCACAAAATTCTTCTAAAGTGCGAAGAGGCCAAAAGAAGCCAAAATGCCAGATTTTTTTCGTGGCCAGATGAAAATGAAGAAGCCAACCTAACCGTGTTTCATGATCATGAGTTTCCTACATTATCCAGTGTTTTTATGATCCCATGATTAGACCGAAAAATTGTCATGAAAGAAAAAATAGGATATGTTCTGTGAACCTCTTATTTTACGTCGAAATTCTCCTTATATTTTTCATGTAGTTGCATCCCTACCAACGAAAGCTTGTTTAGATATACATAGTAATTCTGGAAAAACAAAGAATTTTCTGTTGGATATTGCCAGTGATATTGCGGTGGTTTTCACCGGAAGTTAGTGTATGCGCTTGCGCAGTGTTATATTTACATTTTACCACGACAGTCGGACTTGCCATGTTTCTGTGATCATCAACTAACAATCATATTTGTCAAGTTGTAGAGATCTCGCATAATTTCTGCTCTTCCGATCACAGAGCGTTGCGAAGATAAAGTTAATTAAATGGCTGTGTAATACTTTTCCTGACAACCATGTGTGAGGACGTCAAAGTACACGTACGCATAGACAGAGTTTTTGAAACTTTACCAAGTGCCGAACACGCTGTGTTTATAATCTAGCGAAATGGACAACGGCGGCTTATCAACAATTTTACTGGATAAACATCATTTAACAGTTGGCGAGACAGTTACGCTGTTCTGCCATGGCCTCACTACGAGTGCTACGGACTGGATCGGATTGTTTTACACAGGTAATTTCAGATCTGTTTGTATTTTCCGGATAAAGTATATGATTATTGAACTTTGTTCAAGAATGTCGCAGACTTTCGCACGTCTGTGTTGATAAAGCGCTAGCTGTGTGGTAAAACCATAATCAGTGGCGATCATTAACTCGAAGAGACGCTCCCAATTTTGTAATAAAGCCGAAATAAAATTAAGGCCATCCTGTATTGTCTGTCGATAGCTATGGTCGATAGACTTTAATCCAAACGTCAAAAGACTAAGATCAAAAACTATTAGAACTGTCAGGACTTTGAACGGAGCTGTTTTTATCATGCCTAGGAGACGGATTAGCTTGACAGATAATGAGTATTCATTTCATATGCTCTTGGGATGATTTGTCAAAATTTTACTGCAGTTATCTTTGGTAGTTTTGACAAATTTAAATTGTGTTTGACAAGTTCAATATTCCGGTATCGGATGATATTTATAAACGTTTTGATATATTGCCTATTGGTTTGACCGAGTCAAAGGGCCTTTGAAATATTATATAAAACTGTTTTTCAAGCATTTAATTCCCTACCTACTGGCAACTATTTGTTATTTGGTCATTAGAAAACCATTACGCATTTTATAAATCAAAGAACAGAGCAATTGTACAGTCGAATGCTTCTCTCTTCACTGTGACCCCTGTAATTTGATATTCTCAAAGGCTCCCGACGTTTTCCACAAAAATTGATAAGCATTTTGACATCCATTGTGAGCCCCTTTAATCTGGCTATGTCAAAACTGACATTTTATACTGGCTCTGAAATGTATCAGGGAATAGGCTTAACTCCTCTCTATTGACATTTAATTGTAACTAATTGTATTCACATTCTTAATTTAATGACACTGTGATGTTTTAATAATAATAAGCATTTTAATCTGCCTAACATCAGATGTTTTTATTCATCTACTTGCCTGTTAAGCTGCAATATTTAACTTTGTCTAATAGACCTTTCTTATAATGACTTAATGAGATGTCCCAAGGGATAATTTTTAGCGACAATTCACAATTCAAATGATGTTTTTACTAAATTTATTGGCTCGCCAACGACTTGCATTGCAATCGTTGCTAAATTGTCAGTTACTTTAGCTTTACAGTCAGCCTACTTTATCAATTCACTCTGTCTAATGGCAAACAATTTTCATCAAGGGGAGCACACTGGCTCGCAATGGGTTAATGATAACCTGCCAACCCAGGTAACCCTTTTCAAGATCATGTCTGTAGTAGACTCTGCAAATTTGTCCCGTAATGTGTCGTATGTCCAAGGGTGAAAATCCATTTTAAAAAGTGGGGGACTTATCCAGCCAAAGAACACAATTTATTATACTAGATAATATAATAGTGCCCTTGCCTATGTCCCTTGTTATTCCTTTAGTACCTGAGGATTTTACTCGTCAAGGGCATTTCCAGGTTTTAATATTAACTATTTAAGTCAATGAGTTAGTAAGTACTTTTTTCAAACACAATATAAACCATGTAGTTTGTATTATATATATACATGTGGATAAAATTGTCAGGCTGATATTGCAACTAGTGTCCCCTTTCTCAATTAAGGTTTTAACGTTGACAAAACATTATTTAGCACAGTGACTATACATTACTGAATAAAGTCACGATATCATCTGGTTTTAAGCAGAATAAATTGATAAACTGTTCAGATCGGGTACGATACTTCATTTTGTGTTTGTTAAGGAGCACAACACTTTAGTATAGCCAGTTGTTCTTGAGTATTGTAACAAAGTTATATTACTGAACTTCTTCACATTGACTTGTCAAAACAAAGCTTTCGGGGGATTACACATCCAAAGCTTTGCCAAATAAATTGATAAAAGTATATGTGATGTTTCCGCAAAAATAAACAGTAAGGTTATAATTATTTCACCATGCAAGCATACAAGAAATGTATTATGTCAAAACAAACTGCCAATAATTTTGAATTTTGGCTTTACAGTACTTGTGACCAGGATGTGATCATATATATACAAAATGTCATATTGATATTCAGTTTGCAGAAGTACAATCTTTTGACAAGGTACAGCAGTGATAATATGACTTCCAAAAAAAAATTTAGTTTGTTTAATCCTAAACATGCTAAAAGTATTCTGTAATTGTAAATTTGAAGAGTTTTTGAGAAGGAAATTTCAAGCCGAAAATTATGTACTGTATACTGTATTTTAGACCTGAGCAGGAGCATCTATGAAAAATGTTGTGTCATGCAATTGTACTATAAACTAGACAATTGCACTGGTAAACTAATTGTACACTCAATTTAAATATCTAGTGCCTTTAATCTGCCTCATGGTACTGTATGTGGTTTGTCTGCCTGAGGAGGTCTAGTTGCACAACAGCCACTTGTTATGTTAATTGTTTTTCAAGTACTGTATAGGGCCATAAAATAGGATGTATAATCCAATTTTGTGGTCAAAGATGCCTGTTTGTGATATGCATCCTTTTCCTAATGAAGTGGCCCTTGTTGAAGAAGCACTGACAATACTATAATCTGTAAGAGCACTTAAAAATATTCA